TTTATTCTCCTTTTTTTTTTTTTTTTTTCCTAGAAATTTTACCTTTTTCCTAACCTAAAAAGGGGAGGTGGGGAGGTTCCATAAGTCAAAGTTTATTTTTTTTCTACATCTTCTTTCAAAAACTTTTTATTTTATTTTATTTTTAAAGTTAGTAAACATCAGTTGCAGATCTTCTTGCACATTTTTTCCATCTGGAAATTTGTTCCTGACTGGGGTGAGTTTTGAAAAACTAAGAGCAGAGAAAGAAAGGAAGCTGGAGAAAATAGAATGTCACGTGCCTTTCATTTTTCGTAATACAGTTAGGGATAGAAAGCAAAAGAAGTATGATGAAAAAGAGAAAAGCAGTTCTGTAAGATGTAGATTTAGTGTGGTTGTTTTCCTATGGATTTGAATATGCGGTTGTTTAGAACTGTGAAGGAAAATCTCTAAATGCTGGAATATTTATAATATCTGTTTCTCCTGTGAATGCTTTGAAGTCTAATGGGGGAACTCACACTGCTGCCTCTTCTTCCCAGAAGCATTGACAGGGTCTCACTCTTTCTGCACAGCCACCCAGGGCTCTTCTGAAGATAGTCAAGAAATCTGTGCAAGCTTTGTTATTTCTGAGGACTCTGTATCTTTGTCAAATTTGGTTGAGCTCAAGCAAGAGATTCAAAACTTGAGGAAAGATGTAAGTAGACACAAAATGATACAGATGCAGTATGATGCTATAAATCTTATTTCCTTAGTAAAAAAAAAAAAAAAAAGCTATAAGTATTTTTCAAAGGCAAGTTTTCTATAGTAAAAATGAAAAAAAAAAAAAATCCATTTAAAATGACAGGTTAGTTTTCTTGTAAAAATTTAGCCAAAATATGTTTGAAGGCCAAGCAATTTGTTTGTTGGACAGGAACATTTTCCACTCTCATCAAGTTCAGCCTGTGCTCCTTGTGAGACAAAGAAATTTTCCTCTCTTCTCCAGACCTAGTGCAGACCTCTTGTTTAGCCTTGACTGAGGTGACTTGGCATAGGTTAGTGGGGGATTTTGGGTCAGTGCTCTCATTGGTACCGGTAAGAAGTCCTTCATGTTGTTCACTGCAGAGATGAGCATAGCTCCCTGGACCTGGTGCTAGTCTGTAAGTACAGATCGGAGTGAATGGCTTACTGCAAGGTAGCATCTAACATTTGTATATACTGAGTATCATTTGCCTGTCACTCAAAAAAACTTTGTTCACCATTAATTCAATTGTATCTTGTAGCTCTCCTTTTTAGCGTGCTGCTTCTCCATGGAATAGAAAAAATAAATACTTCCTCTGAGATGAATCCCTATGCCTGCCCTTTTACGAGTAAATGCTCTTTTTGCTCCTATCCTCTTGACAGCATCAAAAGTTGCTCTGCCAAGAGAGCAGAAAGTAGCAGACTTCACATGACAATCATCCCACAGAGAAAGACAAAGCACAGAGCTTTTTGACTTATTGGTGCTATCACCTCTTATGAAGCAGTAAATTGTTGCAAAGACAAGATGATAAGGAAGTGCATCTAAGACGTAGGAAGCAGCCAAGTATAAAGGTCTTCTTTCTTGTCAAAGATCCAACAAGGCCTGGCATCTGCTTCAGCATCTAAAGCAGAGGACTTCCTATGGACACAGATGTCAAGCAGTGGATCTTTGATAGCGTCTTGGTAGCTGGAGGCAATACACCTGTCTTCTGCCTTTAAGTTTCTGCTCTTGCTAATTTTTCCTGTTAGCTGCAGCTCTGAAGTGAAGTATCCTAGCTTGCTTGACAGTCTTGGTACAAAATCTCCAGCTGAGGCACCTGCCAAGAGGAGGAGTCAGGAAGACAACTTGCACTAGAGGGAGGTTGCACATGGACTGGTGAGAAGGAGAAAAGCGATGCCTCTCGTGGATTGGCATGGGCTGCTTTGGGGTGGCTTCTTTAAACAGCAGAGGTGTTGCTGGGTGGGCTGGCATGTGCTCTTTACTCTGGAAGACTGTGGTTATCCTCCTTATTGTTTTGACAGAAGCTGCCAATTTTTGTTTCCTAAGTATACCAAGGAATAACATCAATAATAACAATAACATTAGCTAGGAAAGCAAAAAGGGTTGGGGTTTCACTAAAATATCTTTTCCCTCAATATAAAGTATGGTTGAAACTGTCTAAATACAATGAGGATTTTATATCAATATGCCCATACAAATTAAAAAAATACGTATGCATGTACATATATAGAAAAATTACTTCATGGTTAGTCTCTTCCACTTTGACCATGAGTTCTTAGCATAAGAAAGTAACAAGTAGGTATTAGGTGGGCTGCAAAACACAAACTAACCTCTTAGCACAAGTATTTCCTTGCAAAAAGGAGGTCTCTTGGGCTGCAAGGCACTGACAATCAACCAGTTCAGTGCCCCAGTGCAGGAGGGTCACTGCCAGCCTATTGGGACGGTCACATCTGTGCTTCTGCCTGACAGAAAGTGATCAGAAAGGAGGCATGGGCTCTGACGTCCAGCATGGCCAGACACCAGCCAAATCAAGCCAGAAGATAACATGGAAAGGAGAGAAACTCTAGATCTATAGAGTAAGTAGCCTTTGCTTATCTAGGTATGCATGCTTATCCTGTCAGTGTTAAGGAAGATAATGTTTAAAAAAAAAAAAAAGTTCATTCTCATATGCCAAATAAATATATCATGGTATTGCCTGTAGCTGTTGGTGAAAAACAACTCTCCATTAAAAATGTGGCTTCATTTAAATCAAAGTATTTTTCAGAAGTTTGATTCTTGACTTTTTATGGCAAAAATTCAAAACAGTATTTCCATAAAGATGGAGCATTTCATTTGATATGTCAGTTGAAGTATTGTAAATTAATACTATACATTATCTGTGTACTATTAGACATATCAAAGATGTACTATTGCAACACAGATTGTCATATAAAACCAAAGTGAAATGATTCAGAGCAAAATATTTTTAAATGGTCCTTTACTGATTTATTTTTTTAAGAGTTTGCAATTGCAGGAAATACTTATTCCACAAGTAGCTTTTATTCTAACTGGAAACTAGAGTTATTGAAATGAGGAATAGCCTGCAAACAAAAATTTCAGTTCCCAGCTGGCTCTGTACACTGGTTTATCGACTTATTTTTGGACTCCAATGAAACAATCCATGGCAAAGACAGTAGATAGCCCTAGGAATTTGTGCAGGCTATAGAGTCTTTCAGTCGTGGGCTGCCGGTTCAAATCCAGGGGGCCTGCATGGGAACAAGGAAAAGTGGATAGCATGACTTCAGCTGTGTGGTATGAGCTTACCTCCCTGGGTGTAGGTGACAGCAACAGAATTAGCATTAATTAGTCTCCTTTGGCATCTTGGCCAAAGTTTGACACAGCAAAGTGGGGAAACCTACTGTGCTGCAGACTGAGCTGTGCTTGCTCTCTGGGTAAAAATATAGCTTTCATTTTCCAGGCCAAATCCAGGCACTTTTCATTAGCACTGTCACTGTGATGCCAAAGGGAAAGCTAAGAGAGCTGCCTAATAACTAGCAAGAACAACAAGAAAGCATCAGACTTGGTAATTGGTTAGAGATAGTACCCTGGGAAGATGGGGACAAAAGGCAGTGAACTGTAACCAGCTACACACTCCAAGGTAACAGGCAGTCAGCACTGGATTAGCAACCAAGGCAACTTTAATAATTTAACTATAGCATTCACAGTAATTTAACCACACTATCCAGAACACAAACATAATGGTGATGTAGTTAATGATGCCAGAATAAAAGTAATATACAAAAAGTTTGTTGAATGCCAGCACAAAAAAGAGTCTCCATGGAGGGGGCTAATATTCAGATTTGTTTTTTTTTTTCTTTTTTTTTCTTTCTCAGCTAACTTGAAAAGCAAGCATTTCGTTTTTAGTAGTTATTTACTATCCAGTAAGTGAAGATGGTCTGTTTCAGAAGTTCTTATTGACAGCTGACTTACAGTGTGTAACAGACTGACACATTTTGCTGTCTGTGAAAACTGAATAACAAATGGTTTTGCTATTTACAAGTCAGAAATGAATCGGTGGATCTGAGTTACAGAGCACACTCCCAAAACATACAAACCCCTCTCTGCATGCACTGCTTGCAAATTCTGCCTTCAAGTTCATATTAGCCAGTAACTCATCCTAATTTGTGGAGGTTGAAAAAAAGAAGTATAAAGTGAGAATGCAGGGATGCTGTAGTTCAAAACAGGCTCTCAAAATTTATTTTATAGCTTGCCTACACACAGAGTCATACCACTCTATTGCTGCGATTAAAATGGTAGAACCTCTCTCTAAGGATTACACCCACCACTTTATTGCTGAAGATGCTATCCTGAATAAAATCCATGATCATCCTCTGTTGCATTCTCTAACTCTGGGAAGTCAAATTCTTTTCCAGAAGTGACAAGGTAAAATGGCTGCTTCTTTTACAACGGGTGCTTTGTGTACATATTCATAGGCAAAGCTTTTACTTTAATGACAAAAAAATGGATTTTTACAATCCTTTACTCCCACTAGCATTGAGGAGTCCATACAGTTAGGAAAAAATGAATTAGATTCGATTGTGGCTCACATCTCCTGATTGAACCACTACTGCAAACTCCTGTTGCAGTAACAAATCCTGCTAATTGTGTTTTGCAAACTAGCTACACAGCCTGAGCTGAAGGAAAATTTAAACTCCCAAAGAATACATTTATTTTTGAATGCATACTGGGTGCTGCTCTCAACTTCAGATTGTAGTGGCCCATGATATAAATTCTGGCACAGATTTGGAGAGCTCTGAGCTGGAAACCAGGCAGATCCCAAGTATCACCATCTGCTGGGAATACTTTTTTTTTTTTTGAGCACTCCTCAATGCTAATGGGACTAAAGGATTGTAAAAATCTATTTAGTAGTTGGCTAACTGTAGTTCTGAGCACATGCTAAAGAAACTGGTTTTCATTCCCATTGAGTGGTTGTCTATGAAAAAACTCTGAAGCCCATTGGAAACATTAGTGTGGTGGTGGTGGATGGGGATAAGGGGGTATTCAACTATAATGCTTAGTTTTTGCTCAGTTTACATGAAAAAAAAATGTGGGAGTAGGTTCCTCTCTGTGGCAGTTGGTTCCTCTCTGTGGGAAACACAGAAGAAAGGATGCAGAGAAAAAGAACATCTCTATGATAGTCCTCCTTCCAGGGACTTCTCTGTCTCAGAAGAGCCCACTGGAGGCCGAGGCACACTGTCCTTGCACATCTTCGAGGACCTTTGCAGCTTTCGTAATTCTTTGAGCACATAGCCATCAATTTGCCTATAAAGGCTGATGTTTGCCACTGCACCTGTGTATTAGCTCTCTGACTCCCGGTGGCCACTTCAGGGAACTTGCACCTCGCACTGTGCTGCACAAGCACACCACAGCTGAGCTTCACAGCTGGATCTTAATGTTTTCCCTAGCTCACTAAGTACACTGTGACAGCAGATACAAGGGTAACCCCAAGTATCCTAGATCTAAAGGACAAAAAAAGTCAGCTCTGTAATGAGGCTTAAAGGAAGGCTAGTTATATCCTTGTTCCACAAAATGTAGCATAAACTCCACCACTCATCTTTTTTGGCCTGAAGCTTTATCTACATGGCAATGTGGTCCTATCATTAGTAATAGCACTCCAGAGCATCTTTTTTGAGTTAACAAAATTGTTAGGCGTGCTATTAATACCACTCATTGCACAGATTGACATGAGAAAGGATTGTCAGTATAAATTTACTTTCTGTGTTATTTTCACAGAATCACAGGATGGCCAAGGTGGGAAGGGACCTCTGAAGATCACCTAGTCCAACCCCCCTGCTGAGCAGGATCACCTAGAGCACATTGGACAGGATAGCATCCGGGTGGGTTTTGGATATCTCTAGAGAAGGAGACCCCACAGCTTCTCTGGGCAGCCTGTCCCAGTGCTCTGTCACCCTCACAGTAAAGAAGTGCCACCTCATATTTAGCTGGAACTTCTTGTACTTCAGTTTGTGCCCATTGCTGCTCATCCTCTCACTGGGCACAACTGAAAAGAGACCGGCTCTATTAAAGTGCTACTAAAGTAGAGCTACGGGCTCTACTAAAAGAGACTTCCTCCTCACTACTTTGGTCTGTGGCAAATTTCTGTCCTGAGTTTTGTGCTTGGCACTACATGGGTGCCCAGGAAGGAGTCCTGGGTGTCCTTAACCTGTCAGTTATCTTTACCTGACCACAGCATCTGCTAGAGAGCCAGGTTGGAATACAGTGAGTTAATTTGAAATTTAAGAAATTAAGAAATTTAAGTTTCTGTAACTGAAAGGAGAAGAAATCTACAGGGAAAAAAAAAAAAAAAAGCTGTGATTGCTCTATATCCATTCTGTCTACTTAAACTCTTAGGTACTTATACTGGGCCTACTGCAGTGATACTCTAAGTCAGGCTGCTCAGTCAGACTGTGCTCTTCACATCCTTCTTTGCTTCACATTTTCTTGTCTTTAACTATGACCTTCCCATGGATGTGCTTGGATGATTTTTCCTTCTCATTCCAGTTTGTCTTATCCTTTCCTCTCACTACTTATCTTTGAGGAGCAGAAACCAGCCTTGGCTTGCTACTGAGAAAAACAGATACAAAGAAATGCCTTCAACATCTCCCTCTGAGGCCCTCATGTCACAGCCAGCAGAGGAGTTTGTGCTAAATTGCCATAACAGAATATCTTCAGCTACGAGCTCCATCCAGCCTCAGTAGGCATTGATAGGCAAAGACATGCAATAGAAGAAACCACTTAGGAAATCTCTGCAGAAGTGATGTTGGCAGGTGACTAGGAAGCCCTAATCCCTTTGGATCGGGACAAAACCACATGCTAAAAGACTCGATCTTTGGATTATGGAGAAAATTAAGATTCTTGCCAAGATCCCTTGATTGTTTCAGAAGAACTGGGTTAGTCAGAAAGGCTTCTTGTTACAGGTCACTTTTAGTCTTGAAGGTTATCTTCTGAAAACAAGAGCAGCCTTTGCTATCAGTTTGATGTGTGCAATTTTGTTGTGTGCATCCTTTCCCAACCAATTGAGTAGCTATGCTCAGTAATGTCAAACCCCCACTGGATTTCAAACACACTATAGTACATCTACCTCCAGGTATCTCAGTGATAGAAATGACGGTGCCTGCAATTATTGCATTGTGATTAATTTAAAATGCATTTACTGATTTTGCAGGACCTTCAGGGTTTGCATGAAGTTTTTTAAAATGATTTAGGATCCTTCAAAGAAGCCTACTACAAAAAGAAAATGTTACTTATACAAAACACTTCATGATGCCGTGGAAAGAATAGCCCTATTCAGACCATTTATAATTGTGCACAAGTGGATTTATGATTCAACAGTGAGCAAGTTAAACTGCCTGTTAGTCAGATGTAATAGCCAGTGCCAGCTGCACCAGAAGCTCTCTTCCTATATGTTTAATAGGCAGGGGTAAGGGCTATATTTAGATTCACAAGAAGCATCCAGCATTGCAATATGTAGTGATATCTTCATGGAGTAGTGAAGCTACTTTCTCTAATATGGGGGGGTGGAGAGGAGGACATTCCCCAAATAAAATAAAAGCAATCTTTGCCAATTTAAAACATCTGTTTTGGAGGGGGTACTCCTGTGGGTCTCCTTTTATTATTTTTTTTTTTTTTAGCTTTTAATTAGTCTGTTCTTAACTGCTCCGCATGACAAAACATCACTCTTTCCAACCCAGGGGGAAAAGACTGAGGTTCCTGTTTGACTATCCCAGTGCTTTTCTGACAGCTGAATGTACTGCTAACTTTGAATTATTTTTTTTTTATTATTATTATTTTTTCCTCCTTGGAGCTCTTCTGCTGTGAAGCCCTTCAATGATATGCCAGGGACATTGTTTTTCTTGGGCAACGGAGATACTGCTTGCAACAGGCGAGGATGAGTTGGTGGTGTTGCAGCCAATAACAACCTGTGTGTAGTAGTAATTCCACCTACTTTGGGGATCTTTCTGTCAGAGGATCTCACTCATTGATACTTACAAAAAGATGACATGAAGCTGATCTCTGGAAGAGAAGTAAGGAAGAAGACTGAGCTGGTGTTAAACCCCAAGGAAATCAAAGTGAGTGCCTAAGTGTCTCATCGTCCTTTCCCATCAGTTCTCAGTGCACAACGGGACAGCAGTCCTTCTGAGAGCCTCTAGGGGCTACTCCAGTTCAATAAATAACAGTAAATAAAACGCAAAACCACTTTTGAGTCTGATAAGGGCTGTGTTAATTTCTGGTGTAATATCTTTGACTTCAGAGGAGTTAAGTGGAATGGACCTTGTCCCACTGAGCCTTGGTGTCTGCTCTCACATTGCCATGGAGGATAATGGATGACAGTGAGTACAGTGTATCCTCTTAGGACACAGTGTTTTGTATTGTTTTCATGGGGGAGAAATTAGTCTTTTGGTGCTCTTTATTGCTTTGTTCCCTGCTTTCTGCTAATATTATAAATGTTGCATCTTTAGCTCATGCTGAGATCTGCACAGAACACACAAACTTGTGTAAGCAGTTATTTCACTCTTTGCTAACACTCTTTTGAAATCTGCTTTTATTCATGTTAATAAGAATCAATGTTTTACTAATTTGTTCTTTAAAGATACCATACACCCTTGATAATTCTCTTCCACCACATGGGGTTTGGTTCACTGTGAAGTGTCATATGCAATGTATGAAGCATGGAGAGAGAGCACATATACCAGAGAATGGGCGAGCACACGCTTCTGAGTGCAGTGTATTTAAGAAACTCAGACTTTAGGAGAAAATCTCTACAGGATATCAAAGCAAATTTCAATCCAAGAAGGTTTCGCTGTGTCAATAGATGTAGCACAAGGGCTGCCTGTTGTTTCACAAACAATGAATCTTCTCCAGCCTATAAATAATGTAAAGACAAGTCTCAGGATTTTTAAAAAATTCTGCTAGCTTGAGGCTACCTACCCAGCATGCCTCCTTGTTTACAACTTCCAGTACAAACATATATTCTGTTTGTTTTCAGATAAAACATCAGCTTTCCTGACTTCTGGAATTAACCTCTAATACATATTAGCAGCAGCCTTTCAAGTAGTTTTTGCATACACAGGCTTTCGGTAATGTGACCACACAGGGGTGTGCTCTGACACCGCCTAGAGGTGAGCTCCTTGGTGTTAGGTGTGCAGTGCTAACGAGATGTCACAAGCAGCTGCTCATCACTTGGCAAACATCTGCCGCTCAGGTAAGCACTCTAAAAGCCATTTACAAATATCAAATGAAACAGCACTCTAAGTAGATCTGGGAATGCAAAGGGGGGCTACACAAAGGGCTGGTTTTGTGAAATTCAATTGTTTGTTCACAGGTAGCAGGTCTGTTGTCATCCTAGGCATGTGAGGGCTTGAATCCCCAGCATCTACAGGAGTGCAGGTGAGTGCCCTGACTACCTGAGTTCTCCTCCCATGACATTTGTCTCTCATCCAGTAGTTTTGATATTCTTTTTTTCGGTATAGATGTGGTAAGCCCAGTGGAGAGAGCCTCTGCTTAGTGTAGCTTGTCTTGCCAAGGTTAGGGCCCCCTTCCATAGTACAGACACATCAGCCTGAACCCTGGCAGGCTATAGAGGGCATAACTCCCATGCCTGCTGCTTCCTAAAGGGCTGGCTCTCATACAAAATACATTTGCCTGTCTCTGTTGTGTAGTGTCTGAACCTGTAACTCTGTCTGGGGTGTAGTCTAAGACAAGTATTCATCTGTGTAGGTTTTAGACTGATTAGGATGGAGATGCTCATGAAGACAGTGGTAAAGCATTGGAACAGGCTGTCCAGGGAAGTGGTAGACTCCCTGTCCCTGGTGGTATTTAAGAGATGTGTACATGTGGCACTAAAGGATGTGTTTCAGTGATGGGATTCTGTAGGTCAGGTTGATGGTTTGATTTGATGATCTTGAAGATCTTTCCCAACCTAAATAATTCTGTGATTATATGATTCTATGCTCAAACTAAAGGTGCTTTTATTTAGTCAGAGAAACAGAACCTCGGGTATCTCTAGAGCTTAAGGAAAGGAAAACAAAATGCAAGTCATTGATAGAGTGTAGTCAGGAAGGGAGATTTTGATAGCAATTTTGGACTTTATCACTTAAAAATGCTTAAATCCATTTTCTTCCAGTTTCAGGCACTTTCACTTTTTATTAGAAGTCTCCTGAAACACATCATTTCAAAACAGAAGGACATATGACAAAACAGAATTTGGATCGAGGACAATTTAATCTATGGCTCTGTCTACTACAGTTTACATGACAAAACTATAATGAGGAAAGGCTTCTGTCTAGGACTGAAGTCTTGCCTACCTCTTAATGTCTTCAGAGCTCTATGGTATTAACCTCTCTGTTTTCCTGGGGGTGTTTTTTTGTTTGTTTTGTTCTGTATGTTTGTTTGTTCTGTATGTTTGTTTGTTTGTTTGTTTTTTAATGTTTCCGAGGTTTTCAAAAGTGAATGCAAATTGCTTATAAGTACATTTTTGGGTTCAAGGAGGAACAAATGGATCCCTCCAACGCAACCTGAGAGACCAAGAGAATGGCAGATTATAATCAACAGCAAAGAGCTGGATTGAGTTGGGGCCAGCTGAGGAACAGCTGTAAGTCATAAACATCTGATAGCTTTCTGATGCTCTATGGGAAGGAGTGTCCACCTAGCTCTTACCAAGATTGAATCTTGGCTGACAGACACCCATTTTTTTGAAAGCAGCACAGCAAACTGCTCAGCCAAATTCAGTGACCAGGCACAGAGGGTAAATTCCCTGCTTCCCTGCTTCTTGCTGATTCACTCAGGAGATAACAGCAGCAGTTTCTTGGATTAACTATGGTTGTGGCTGTTGTGCCAGTGAAACCCATTTAGGAGCTTTCAGTCTGGCACTTGTATAATCAGGAAGTATGCTCGCTTGTAAGTGGAAAAAAACTTGGAGTTGTATGAATTTAAAAAAGCAGCAAAGGGGAGGGAAGGATCACAAAGTCAGCTGCTATTGCTACTGGTCCCCCGGAAGGTGATCTGTTCTTGGGCTTTCATTAACTCTTGAAGGTTTTCCAGGTGCTTATCTAATCTCAAGGCTGTACATATCCAGCTGAAGTATTACTTCCTTACTGCCCAAGTCAGGTTTTGTGTTCTACAAATGCTCTACAGGAATATCATTATAAATCCATAGCTGAAAGAGTCTGTGCATCTTAAGTGCTCTTTGGTTTGCCACCTCTGAATATTCTGCCAGAAGAGATTTAGAACATTGGCTCTGTAAATGCTTTCATGTCAAGACTAAAGGCAACACTTGTTTAATTCATTCTTTGACCCAACAGTAGCTTTATCTTAGGTTATCACTTGTTAAGCTCTCCAGAATGTTTTAAACATGAAGGGGGCTGCTGCGTATATACATCCACTGTACTGTATTTTACTTGTACAAATTTGACAGTAGTGATTCATATACATCAAAACCATTTCCTTTCCATGCTGCAAATAATGCTTTACTTTAGCTCCATTCACAGATTCACATAGAGGACATATAACTTGTTCTAGGGAAAGAAAAAAAAAAAAAAAAGAGAGAGAGAGAAAATTGCATTTATTCTCTGTCTGATATCCTCTATCCAATTTGTAAATCTGTATTTTAGGTCACAAGAGCTCAAAGGTGTTTATACTGTTATATACTCGTGTGTATGAGAGAGATTCTTTGTGTGTATATATAAATATATATGTATATATGTTTGAGTACACACATTTATAAATAAAAATACACATAGATATGAGACTAGTTGCAGTAATGATATATGCTGCAGTATAAATGAAGGACTGGATTTATACATCAAATATACTGCAACCTGATTAGAATAACAAGCAAAGGGGCAGAGTGGTTTGCTCTACATCATCCATTGGCGGTGCAAAACCGAAATAATTACACTATTCTGTGTAAACCCATCTGTTCTGCCAGCATGGGATTTATCCCTAAATTGTCAAACAACTGCAGTTGTATTTAGAATCAGCAGCTGACCGTGACCCCCAGAAGTGAGGTCAACAGAATCATTCTGGATTTGCATCATAGAACAAGAGTCAGAAACTCAACAGTTTTGTGTTAGAAAGAGTTACAGGGCCAATTTGTTAACAGTTTGTGTTCACTCACAACAATGATGGTTTCTACACCATAGGACATATCGTCCAAACATTGTTTCATCCAGACACCACACTATTGTATTGTAGCCTGATGCCTCACTCTCTCAATGTCATGACAAGATCTTAGTATCTGTTGCCTCATATTTTTGTTCTGAAAAAAAAAAAAAAAAAGTTTTATTTTGGGTAGAGATAGAGAGGGATCCACAACATCCTGTAACAAATTCCCCAATCCAGATAGACATGGGAGCATGGACTGCAATGCAGACAGACAGAGCACCTCAGCCCTGTGCAGAGAGGTGGGTGCTATTTCAGATAGTTTGATCTCAACATCCGTCTAGTCTTCTTGTTACCTGCTGTGACATCCAGACCAAAATATTTATCAAGCATGCAATATACCAGAATGAAAGTACAAGCCTCAGTGTCAGCTCAGGGAATATAACACCATCAAGAGAGTTGATAATACTTTAAAGAGAAAATACCTGCATCAGTCCCTAGCATACCTGTGACTAACAAGTCAGGGATCAGGGAGCCAGTGCTATTGGTGGCTGTGCTGTGTTGCAGAAGCTCACACAACTCTTAAAACCCAGTGCCAGTCGGTCAGGCCTTGGGCACTGACAGCAGCAGACCTCTCTCAGATGTCTCGGCCCAGCGATTTCTCAAAGAGATATGTTAACAGGAGTAACATGAAGAAAATACCCTGAGTAAAAGCATGGAAAAGCTAAAGCTCTGTCAGGGAGGAGTTGTGGAAGACAGTTAGACAAGGTTTAAAAGATCTTTGTTACAGCACGTAACGGTTGCCAGCAGCAAGGGGGACATGTAGAAGATAGCATTCTTTTTGACACTTGCTTGTTTTAAAGCACTTGATATTTATAATATTTTTCAGTTAGTGCATGCAGCAATGGCTAACTATGAAAATGCAATACAGAACTTCAGATAGCACATGTCACACACAGAATTAACTCTGACAACATTTTTATTTATGTATTTTAATGAAGAGTCACAGATGAGGTTTTCTAGGGGTGAGGACATGGCTTTGGAGTTCTGGGGGCTGAGTTTCTTGCAACAGAGTTTGCTGTGATTAAGGTCTGAGACAAAAAAAAGAGGTTGAGCAAGAACTGTATGCTGGAATGGCTTGGAAGTGTCCCCAACTAACAACAACAACCAAACAGAGACTGGTACCTAAAGTGGGATTCATCTCCTCTAGTCGCAGCTGTCAAAAAGCTGGATGTCTGGTCTGCCATAATCTCTCAGGCACCAGCAAAAAAGGCAGCTGCAGAGGTTAATGAATCCCAGCTACTTGGAAAACAGCTTAAAACAGAAAGATCTGCCCTCCTAAGGGAGGAAAACCAAATAACATGGATGAGACATCCTTACTTTTTCCACAGCTCCAGTAACATGAAATGAATCTCACTTACTATACAGGCTGATGCTCATGGGGGAAAAAAAAAAAAAACAAAACCAAAACAAAACAAAACAAACAAACAAAAAAAAAATCAGTGCTCTAACACAATGGGCATGCTGGAACAGCCAAAATGCTGTTATTTGTGTGTGCTTGGGGTAAGAGGGACAGTCAAAAAGAAAACACTTTTTTTTTTTTTGTAAAGTATCACAACACCAGTTGTGGAAGGTGGACAGACAGTGCTAAGCGTTTCTGTTTAAGCTCAAGTTCTGTGCCATTAAATCTAAGGGTGTTCAACCACTGTATTAAGTGGGAAAGTTACTGAGCCTTGGACCAGTTGAACTGAGGTCACTGAAGCACCTGAAACCAGAAAAACTTTCAGTTGCTATCATTTATTTTCCTTTTGAGTTCAGAAGTGCTTCTATTTAAATTTGCTACCATAACCCATAACAAAGTAAATCCATAGCTCACACTGAACAACAAAACCTCTCTTAAGAAACTGCACATATTTTTAGGAGGAGTAAACAGTTAGAAAGCCCTAAGGCCAGCTGATGCTAATGCTTTCCTGTTCAATGCATGGAATTGTCTCAAATAGATAAATAAATGAGCTGTCAGTCCTGTGCTTAAAGTTGCATTAATGTCAAACCCATGAAAAGGGTAAGTATGTAACATACCATGCTCCACCAGCACTGAGGCAATGACATATTTTTTAGAGTGTGAGTAGAAGAAATTATTTCAGCCATATATTTTGAATATCTGTTTGAAGCTATCACTTTGGAGTGAATAAAATGTGTTTTATCCTTGCTAAGTCTGCAATCAAGTCTAGCACTGTGCCTTAGCGGGCTAATGTTCTCGTCGCTTCAACTTTCCTGCTTGGCAGGGGATCAGCCTCTCTTTGCTGCTCATATTGAGCAGACAAACTTGCAGATTTCAATCCTGCTGGCATGTGTTTCTGAAATAGATGGGCTATAATGTACCTTTTGGCCTGACAAGAAGACTGTGATTCTGGGAGCATTCCCCTCAGCCAGTGTAGGACCTTAGAGAGGGGCTGATGTTCTGTCACCATCAATGTCATTACAAACAATGTGGTGCCTTAGCAAAATGCTTAAAACACATGCAGAGAACTAAATTAGCCATGGCAAGAACAACAACAAAACTCAGCCTACAACCCTTTACAAAAAAATATTCAGATGAAAGCCGTCAGACTAAATAACTTGAACATGAATGTAATTATTATTTTTTCTTTCTTTCTTTATATTTCTTTACAGGTCATCTAAGAAGAGAAAACAGCAGTGCTGCACCTTTAACGTAGTTTTAATACATATTCAATGTACCTTCAATTACTGCCTGAGTAATCAGTGTGGATGCAAATCAAATGTGGAACAACAGAATGATTTTCTGGGCTTCCTCAGGGGACTGGACTTTGGAAGTAGTAGCACTGTGTTGTGTTTCATGCAACTTTGTAAAAAGAGGGAAGGAGAGAGCTGAGAATAGTAGGCAGTGGAAGCCTTCCAAACATGCTATATTGCTAGCTGTGCACGTAGGAGAATCTACATTAGCACTGCAACCTTCAACTGCTGTGATTTGCCAATCACAGTTTTGGAAGTGATACTTCCTTGCTCTTTGTGCCCTGAGGGAAGTCTCTGTGCATTACCCTGCTGCCTGCTTGAGTGAATCCTTTATAGCAGAATAAACCTGACCATGAGAAACAACGAATATTTTCAAGCCAAACACCCATAAAGAGACTTGTGTTTGTAGCAAGAGTTTCACTCCAGAGATCCCACATTATTCTTCTCATACTTTTATCCAGAAGCTACCCTGTTGTGACCACTCTTTTTCAGAGTACCCCAGAGACCTTCTTGTGATTGCCAAACCACTCTCCTTCATGTTTGAAAAGTTCTGGAGTCAGGTGAAGTTCCTGGTGACTGGAAAAAGGGAAACATCACTCCCATTTTTAAAAAGATAGACAGGAGACCTGGGGAACTACAGACCAGTGAGCCTCACCTCTGTGCCTGGCAAGGTCATGGAACAGATCCTCCTGGAAGCAATGTCAAGGCACGTGCAAGACAAGGAGGTGATCTGAGACAGCCAGCATGGTTTCACCAAGACAAATAGTACCTGACCGATCTGGTGGCCTCCTATGTTGAAGTCACTGCATCAGTCAACAAGGGAGGCCCAACCAATATCATCTACCTGGACTTCTGTAAAGCCTTGGAGACAGTCCCACGTGACATCCTTATCTGTAGGGTGGACTGTTCGTTGCATAAGGAATTGACAGCATGGTTGCAGCCAGAGATTTGCAGTCAAAGATTCTATGTCCAGGTGGAAGCCAGTGATAGGTGGCTTCCTCATGTGAATATTGGATATGAGGAATATTGAATATGAGGAATATCCTGTGGATATTCCTCAGGGATCCATTCTGATACCAGTGCCCGTGTGGGCCCATGTGAGCCTAATGAGGTTCAAGAAGTCTAAGTGTAAGGTGCTGCACATGAGTCAAGGCAATCCCATGAGTACAGACTGGGAGAAGAGCTCATGGAGAGCAGCCCTGCAGAGAAGGACTTGGGGATTCTGGTGGACAAAAAAAGCTCTACATGAGCCAGCAGTGTGCGACTGCAGCCCTGAAGGCCAACTGCACCCTAGGCTTCATCAAGAGCAGGTTGAGGCAGGTGATTGTCCCTCTCTGCTCTGCCCTTGTGAGGCCCCACCTGAAGTGCTGCATCTAGGTCTGGGGTCCACAGCACAAGAAGGATGTTGATCTGTTAGAATGGGTCCAGAGGAGGGCCACGAAGATGATCAAGGGTCTGGAGCACCTCTCCTACAAAGAAAGGCAGAGAGAGAGCTGGGGCTGTTCAGCCTAGAAAAGAGAAGTGTCTGGGGAGACCTCATTGCAACCTTTCAGTACTTAAAGGGAGCTTATAGAAAAGATGGATAGTGACTTTTTACACAGCCAGAGAGTGATTGGATGAGGGGGAATGGTTTTAAACTAAAAGAGGGAAAATTTAGGCTAGAAATCGGAAGAAATTTCTTTCTCAAAGGGTGGTGAGGTACTGGAACAAGTTGCCCAGAGGTTGTGGATGCCCCATCCCTGGAAGTATTCAAGACCAGATTGGATGAAGCCATGGGCAACCTGATCTACTAGGTGGCATTCCTGCCCATGGCAGGGGGGTTGGAACTAGATGGTCTTTAAGGTCCCTTCCAACCCAAGCCATTCTTTGATTCTATGATAACATGCAGTGTGGAGCTTGCTGTCAGCCTCAGAGAATTAAGCAGCAATTACTCCAGCACCTTTCTGATACACGGTCAACTCCTGTGATGCCACCATTACTCAGAGAATCTGAAATGTGCTAGTAGAGTTTTTATGAAACTTAAAATTAGGAAAATGGTTTGAGTATTACTTGGCTCAGGCAAACCAGGTGAAAGACTGAGGATTGCTGGATGAGGGATGATTTCTGTGGAAATCAGAACATGGATGTCAAAGGTTCAGTTGTCTTTCTGTGTTTCAGATTCCTGAACCCTGTGCTTCCCCTGCTCCTATTAACATAAGTGAGGGCAGTCTCAGCTAGTGGTTCTTGGTATTCACATTTTCTGTTTGGAGGATACAGCCCACATCAGTCAAAGCTTGTGAGTGACAGGGAAATTTGCATAGGAAACATTAACCTTCTGTTCAGCTATATCTGGTTAAAAAAGGCTCCCCTTCTGATTGTCATTCCAAAGGTCCACAGCTTTCTGGGTAGATAAGGGACTATATTTATTATCATTTGCCTTCTCCTGTGACTCAGCAGCAAGCAGGCTGAGGTTCACAAACAAAAGTAAAATGACATCAGCAGTTGTCAAATAGAAAAAGGCAAAGCTGACAAAGGCATTTTGCTTTAATGCTTCTAAGCGGATATTGCAAATCACAAGAGTGTACACACAGACACCACACACACAGTGGAATAGTCATCATGAAATTCTAAAACACTTGCCAGCGTCTACATCTTTGAGAAGGAAAAGTCAGTGCCTGGCTCAATAGTAACTTGTATTTTAAGATCAGGTGATCAAAGATAAGCACAGCCGCTGCAGCAGCAGCAGCTGAGCTAGTGAGCCCTCAATCTGGGATGGAGCCACAGGTGGCAGCCAGGCCTGCAGCACTGACTTGTGGCCTCTGTGTTGTAAAAGATCTCAACAGCCCACGGAGATGCTGTAGGCAATGTCAGTCATGCCAGGCACTTCTTTGCTGTCTCAGCTATTTTCTGCATAGCTAGTACTGAGGGAACAGGAACGGATAAAAGCAGGGTAGCCATGGATCTCTTACTGCACTACTCTGCTGATGATCACTGAGCTCCTACCAATGACTGAGCCACCTACATTCCCACATTATCTGCACACATGTCCACTGATGTTAAACTTGGATTGGGGGCCATATGCCAAGCTTTTTTGGAACGGCACTAGAAGCACTGTTGAGCATACTGCCCTGCAGTATACTGCTACCACAGGGTACAGTCAAAAAAAATCAGCAAGTTCCTCACCAGTGACTGATAAGTTTCTCTGTCTCTCTCTTCTTTTTTGTGTGACTTAGAGAATCTAGAGTCTAATCCTACCCACAGATCAGCTTTTTGCTATAATCTGGTACCTTGTTTGACATTTCCTTATTTAATCAGCTCACCAATTATTTTCCCTTTTACAGAATGATGAGTAAATGAGGGCCACTCAAAGGAGAATTGATCAGAGTTTGTTCCTCAAACAGAGCCTAATCAAACCTTTTCCTCAGGCTCAGTGGATGTCACTCAGCTGTAAAAGACAGGTGCTCAGAAATCTCTGTCCTTTTCTCTCCTCTTTCCTCCAAGCTCTAACCAGAAAGAATATAGGCCTGAAATACAGCAAGAGAGACTTTCACTATGGGCTTATATTCCTTGACCTCTTCTTCCTTTTCTGTTGTTCCTAGATTCCCTTGATCAGGAGTCTCTTGATCTTTTGGTTCTGAAAGTCATCTCACCAAGTTTCAAACATATCCAGTCATTCATAACTTCTCCCTTCGAGAAATGTGTCAAGTTCCTTTTGCATGTTTATTTCTGATCCTCTTTGCAGATATGTTTAAGAGCTTCCCTACATTAACATTCCTACCCTTCACCTTGCTTCAGAAGATTCCATTTTCTTTTCAAAAATAAATGCCAGATTTGTTTTTGATCTCAGGAGTAAAAGTGTCTTTTTACCTCTGTTTTTGCATAGCTGTGAGTAAGCATTGTCAGTTTTGAAGCCTCCAGCTCACAGTATTTTCTGCTTGAACAGAAGTTGAAGCAAAGCCCAAGCATGTATTTTTCACCTTAGATAATATGCCAGTTCTCTAAGGGCAAGAGGCTCAACAGGTAAATTGACATGGATTTTACAGAAATCAGCTATCTAAGTTACACCAGCTGAGACTCTAGCTGGAGAAATCAAAAGCAATCCTCTCTGGAAAGTAAGTACAGTCATCAGTTGTCTTTAAGTTGCTGCTCCTGTCAGTGCACACTTTCAGCTTGAGGATGTCAAAGACTGTTTTCCTGTATCTTCTCCATATTTTATCTGGTCTTCTTTGCACTTCTTGTGTGTAAACTCTCATCCAGCACTTTCATTTGTCTTGCACCCTGACTCTCAAACTGGGTGTTGAGGTGATCTCTATATGAAAACTGGCTGACACATCCTATGGCTGTCACTGAGCAAGACCGAGTGGCCTCTTTTTCCGCTCAATTGGTTTTTCATACTTCGGTGGCTGTCCTGTTCATTTTTTGGAGGGCCCTCTATCACTGCTTCATTGCCTACACAAAATAGCTTCTGCAGTTGACTAGGCTAAAAGGATCCACGCCCATTTCTCTTCCAGGTTGCCTGATACTCACGCTTTCTTCTTCCCTGATCGTTTATCAGTGACTGAATTAGGTGGTAGGAGATTGAAAGTCCCAACAAATAAACATAAAGTGCTGTCTCCTTGATTTCATTACATCATCCATAATGAACAACATTCTCCTCTTGTGCAGGTGGAAGGGCGTGCATCAGTGCTGCTGCCTGGCCAGAGCTTTGTTGGGAAATGCAGTTTGGCTGAGGGGCCAGGTCCCTGATCAAGAACAAAATCAGGAGAGACTTGAGACCTTTGGAGTGCTGTAATCGTCCTTCAGAATTGAAGTATTTTGTCTACCTTCTTGGTTTGCCAGCTCAGTTTTTTTGACAAAAAATTGAAAAGTTATGTGGAAAGCAGAAACCTTGAATGAAAAATTCACTGCCACTGAAAGCTCCACTCTGTTGCAAAACAGTTTGATGTAAAATTTTTTCCATTGTGTCCAATTAGGAGAAATGTAGAGCTTCCTCTCTACTATGCCAGGGCTCAGAAGGCAAGCTAGCAGTTGTTCTGTATCTTCAGTAACAATTAATGTCTGATTGGCCTATGTGTTCAAGATATAGGTTTGAGAGGAGAGAAAACAAGGCCTAGTTTGCTGAAAGTCCCCTTGAATTCTCCTCAGAAATTTTAAAACTTACCATTCTTTAGGACAAGGATGAAGCTTTTTCTTTTTTTTTTGTTTCTTCCTTAGCTGTTTATGTTGTGTAAAGCCCTATGTTGTGTTCACCCAATTTTTTGGAAAGTTTTCAGGCTTATTTCCAATTCTGATGTTGCACAAGGCATGTGACTTGTTTATGTGATATTTTTCACTGAGATGTATTGAAGTATGCAAATGCCTTTAAGCTTATATGTCTTTAAATAACAACAACAAAAAAAGTAATAATGAGCAGATATGCCATAAAATAATAATAATCACCAGTCCTGTAACAGGACTTTCTCTCTGTAAGACAGAAAGCTGAAACTGCCAGTTGCTGCATGGGCAGCCTCCATGAAACTTTTGTTTCATCTGACCCTCAGTGTTCATTTTAAGCCTGATTTGGCTATCTGGTTTGGGCAGTTTTAATTGCACATGCATTAATCCTTCCTTTAGCAGAGTATGTGCCTTTTAATCTCCAGGACTTCCAGACTCAGTGGGCACTTTATCCCTGCACATCTCCTCTGTTTTGTGCCTGATTACTGGAATATGGACAACATTTGGTGGAGGTGGCACATAAACCCTGTGGCTGCTTTCATCATTCTGTCAAAGGGAGGGAAATAATCAAAGAGCTGCAGCAAGAAAACAAATGGCCAAATAGCTGTTGAAGCAGGAGGTTCCAGCTCGCTGGAGCTCAGCTTATTACAGGCCATATGCCTGAGTGTCTCCTCTCACTGAGTGCTGCACCCAGCTATGGAAACAAGCGTGCAAGCGCCTGTGGTTCGTGAGGTCTGATTTGCTATAGCTGTGCATAACTGCTGAGAACACAGACAGGAAGAACCCGAAGAGGCTGTGGGGCTAATTGAAGAGAGAATCCTTTATGAAATAAAAAATTAAAATACAAATTCCCAAAATATTTATGTAAAGATGCTAATGGGTGATAATTTGTTTTCCAAGCTCACAGCAGATGCTGTTCTTTTAGTACACAGACTATATTCATAAATGATGCAGCTTAACATACGTGGGGAAAAAAAATGATATGCTCTTCTACTTTAAGTATCATGGGGTTGAATTAATAGTTACTCTTGACAGTTACCACTATCTCACACCCTTTCAGCTATGCCCAATGTTTTCAGGGCTGGCTCTGCCAAAATTCATCTCCTGAATGATGGGTGTGTTAAAAAAGCTGAATGACAAAGCTGGAAGGAAACAGGAAGGGTGGAAGTTTTCAACCTAGCGTTTCATTTCTCTTTGCTCAGCAGAGCTCCTCCCAGGAGCACTGAAGGTGCAGGCCCCAGCCAACTATTCATTTGGCTGTTAGGAAATTGGAATAATCTAGCAAAGGCAAGTGACCGTCAACAACCAAGGGACTGCCTTACTGCCCATCTTGTCTGCAAAGTCCTTTGTTTCTCACAGGACTTAACTGCTTAAGGGCTCATTCTAGAAGACATATTCCTGCTAAAGCAGCTTCAATAATTCAGAAAAAGTATTCCTAGTACAAAAAACGAGACATGCACATTTAGTTATTCAGGAGGAGGTACTCCACTGTAACTTCATACTCTGCCCTTAATTCAAATGTATTTCCCTCAAGAAGCTGGTAGTTCTTTTCTTACCATTTCTTCTATGTTTGTAGCCAAGCTATACAGATTCATGGCCTTTTTCTCCACCAGCCTGGGGTATGTCATCTGTATAGTAATACTTTAGTAATACTTCTTTGCGCGCATAATTCACAACACTATACATAATTCAGTACAGCTGTGTCAGTATGCCCACATTTCTTTAAAAGGATGATGACAAGTTCTGTTTCATTTTAGTTATGCTCCCCCTCTATGTGAGAGCCTCCTCTCCTACCTTTGAAACCTTTCACCTTTATTTTCCAATTTGGTTGCCTTTTGCGTCCCCTTTTATATTGCCCACTTGAAAGCTTTTTTACTTTGGTTGTGTGTCTTGCTTAACTTTCCTAGCAGCACATCAAGTAAGGATGTACTTTATAACTAAAATGAGCTGTGATGACAGCTCTGGTCTGTCTCTGTTTTGGTTTGAAATGCTGTTACATGAAATGGTAGGAAGGTGTCTAGACACAGTGCAGGGTAGGCACTGAATACACAGTTATCAGACACTACTAATGCCTCAATGTGAATCTCTGTTGTTTGTCCCAACCCCACCCCCCTTCCCCATGTTAGTTCAGAGGAAAAAAGTATTGTGTGACAGTGTTTTAACCTGCACAGAATGGCTTTAACAGCCTTTCTCTTCTTGTAAGAGTAAGCAAAACTAGACATGGAAAATCTGTTTCTTAAAATTTAAAAAACTCATCTTACCAATTTTATTAAAATTTGCCATTCTTTGCCTCTGTATCACATCAGGGTTCATTAATTATCCTGCTGTCTCTGAACATGGCTCCAAAGAACAGGGTGACCACTTTTTTTAATAAAATTGCAGATTTACAATTTTCCAGCTCACTGAATTGCTAGTGTTTAAATATATTGAGAGGCCAGTGCCAGGCTGCTTCGCCTCCCTGTGCGGCATTTTACTGAGAAGGGGATGGTAGAAGGGTGTGTGAGGACAGGAAGAAAAGCTGTAGAGAAGAAAAAACAGGGCAGACAGACATAATGCCAGAACAATACTTCAAAAACAGGAGGTCTTAGGGTGCCTGAAGAGTCCTGCAGGTCAGGGGTGGCCCAGATCACTTCCTCAGCCCTCCTCTTGCTCCCGGGAGGGAGGAACAAACAATACTTAGAGGGGACGAAGCATGTCTCTCCTGTAAGGTGCAGCCCTTTACTCCAACAATGAGGTGAGGATCAAGTTGGTCTATCATCCTTCAGCCTCTACCTTGCTGGGGGAACAGGAAAACAAGACACAAACTCTGCACTCTGTGTCTCAAATGCAGCTAGGTTTCACATTGGTATGCACAGGTCCAGGATCTGCTTGGTTGGGAAGGGAAAAGATGAGCCCACACAGGATTTTCCTGCTGTTGTCTGAAAAATATATATTTTTTTCCATTTGCATAATTGTAAGTTCCTCTGGCAATGGGGAAAACAGGAAGAAAAGGAGTGAGAGACAAGGTAATGTGACTATATATAGAGAGAGGTGATCTAAATAAAAATATCAGAAGAAAGAAAGATGATGGGAGCTAGTAACAAAGGCAGAGCCAAGGGTTTATGTCTTTGTACCTATAGCTTCTGATCCGGACATATAACTAAGCAACCTCTTGTGGTGGCCTTGCTTGAGCATGACAAACAGCCTTTCTTACAGACACAAAATAAAAAAATATCCAGTTCCTAAAACTCAGCATTTCTTCTCAGTGTTTGCAGTAACGTTCGGGATCCCTAGGGCATGTGGGGACTGCTGGCATCAGACACTATCTACTGACAGAGGGAGCAGCACTGCAATCTCCCACTAGCTGCTTCAGCAGAGACCAGGGAGACCAAGCTAGAGGTGAGAAAAGACTTCAGGTACATGCATCGTCTGCTGAGAACAGTGCCAGCTTAGTGCCCTTTTTTATACATGGGTGGACTGGTCCAGGCACATCCTACTTGCCTGGCCAGGATGCTGGGGGTAGCAGGGCTACACCCAGCACAAGCCCGCTGCTGCAAACTCTCTCCTCCATTTTGTTAAAAGCCTTGCAGAGACAGAAGAGGCCCAAAGGCCTTTAAATATTAGCTTCCTGATTTCCCTCATCTCTCTCTTTTTGAAACAACTGCAGTTGTTGCAAGAGCAGCCAGGAGCCTTTCAAGGGACCCACAGAGTCCCATTTATGCCTTTGCCAAGCAGTAGGAGGACTGGTTTTGGTGGCAGCTTTTGTCTGGGACTAAGGAGACCAGGGTACACTTCTCTCTTGGGATACAAATTCTCTGTAAGAGTTCACTGTGTAAGGCAGAAATTGTGTCCTCTCACCATAAATGACTACAGTGTGCATCCAAGCTGGTCACTTCTGTCTCCCTTCAGAAGCAAGAAATGAAGAGAAATTGACACTTCAAGAGCGCAGTGCATCAGACCTACTTTACTTCTAACTTAGGATGAGATAAATGTCTGCCAGAGGACACTGCTTCTTTCTGTTGTCTGGAAAGAGAGCCCCAGGGTGGCCACATTTGTACTGGGTATCCATGGCACAGATGGATACTTCTATCTAAATAAATTGTGCTTGCAGCCTGCCCTCTGTTTTAGTTTGCTCTGTATAAAACAAAGGTGGCACATCCTTTTGCAGAGATGCTGTGAAACTTAAATCCTGTAATGCCTGTGTGGCATCTACATGCAGAGGTGACCAAGGCATGGGAGTGCCTATCATACTGTGAACACAATCAGACTGTCCCAAAGGCTGCCAGGGAGGATTTCCTCCGTCTGTGACACCTGTATTCAATACCGCGTTTGTGAGAAACACAAGGTTTCACCTCCATGGTCTCAACTACTTCCTGACTTGCTGGTAACACACACATGTCATGAAGGAGACAGTTTGCTGCATCAGGACAAAGGCAGCAGTGAAGTCTCAGCATGTCCAGATGCTGAAGGTCCTCATCAGAAGTCCCAGCCATACACTGGCAGAAAGTAAAGGTGCTGGGAAGTCATTGGCAAGGGAGACAGTGGAAAGTGAACCTAATGAAAAAATATTATTATTATTATTATTATTGTTGTTGTTGTTGTTATTGTTGTTGTTGTTGTTGTTGTTGTTGTTTGTTGTTGTTGTTGTAGTTATATTTATTATTATATTTTATATTATTATTATTATTATTATTATTATTGTTGTTGTTATTGTTATTGTTATTATTATTATTATTATTATTTCATTCCTTTTTATTGGAACTACCTCACTTTTGATTACATTCATCTCTATTTCTATCACACACACACACACACACACAAAAACACTAGGCAATATTATACGTATTTTCAGTTCGTGTTTTAAGTAAGCAATGTGCTTACTGAAAAGCAATTTTAAAATCATTTATTGTCCTTATACAAGGAAACTGTGTTGAAATCTTTTATTTTTTAACATGTTAGTAAGAAATGAATTTTGCTACTTGCTTTGGTGGAATCAAAGGTTCATCTATATAACTGATGGTGTCTCTTTAATTTTTTATATTTTGTATTTTTATTATTGTTATTTTATTATATTTTATTTATACACATATTGTTTATTATTATATATATATATAGATAGATATTTTGCTTTATAACCCTGTTCATGAAAGACATTCCAGTGGCCATATTCTTCATTTTTAAGATTCTGACCTTATTTTTGCAATTTTTAATTAGTCACAGTACCCTGTTCTTACATTCTTATTTTAGACATGGCACTAAATTGTTGTTTACAAGGCACAATAATGTGTCATAAAAATTAATGCAAGGCTGGGGCCACACTGATGTTGGCTTATATTACTCTGAAAGAATCTGCACGTTTATTATAAAAACTCACCTTCAGAAAAGGTTTTTGATACTTGCAAATATAACCCCAAATTTATTTCGTCAGTTTAATTTAATATGTTTGCCAAATGCACAAACAAGTGTGCTCTCCTGAATTGGTCAGTTGGATTTGAAAGAATGTTTTCCCTCTGTCCTCCTCACACAAGCACACGTGCATTCTCAAATGCACACATACACATACATAGATGGGCACATGCACACACATCTGAGCAAATCCATGGAAATTCCATGAAATACTTTAATATTGGTACCAGCATTTAGAGTTCAGTTTTTGTTTGTTTATTTTTGCTTTGTTTTATATTTGTTTTGTGTGTATGTGTAAGGAGATTAGGACTTTGACAAACTTCCTAGGGCATATGGAGAATGCAAGTGCAATCAATTATGCTGAAGACTAGATACCAGACAAAAGTGTATGAGTAGCTAATTGCTATGTATGCCATACAGTTGCAAATGAAACACAGCAAGAGATGTCAACAGGGTCCACTACATGGGATTATAGTGATGTCTGAAAACAAAACTGGAAATTGTGACCTCCAAAAATACAGCAATAAGAACATTTGAAAGTCATATGGAGTTTTAAAAATTTCACAGCTGGAAGACTTACTATAATTCTTTCCCATGGCAGAGCTGCATCTCTAATTCTCCCTCAGGCTGTAAACAAAGACTCCTACCTGATTTCCCAACTCGCAACATCACTGTATACTTCCTTCAAGGGGCCTCCGCATTTTTTCCTAGACCCTGTGTGTCAGGAAAGTTCAAGGTGGAAGGAAGCAGGAGCTGGGCACTGGCATAGAGCAGGGTACATGGCACAAAGAGGATCTTCACACTTTGTCCTCACAGCAGTCAAAATATGAGCTCCATCATGTTTCCCTGTACATACAAGATACTCTCATCCACACCCCACCACGCAGTAGGGGAGGCAATGGAGCTGGAGCCCTCTGAGATACCCACTGGCCTGTTCTGCAAGGCACTCACCATCTTCTTTCAGAGATGACTGCAGCTGGCCCTAAATCTCCTTCCCACCTCCCTGCGATCTTTGGGAGCCACTTCTCAAACCTCTGTGTATTTGGGTGCCATCCAAACAGTGGCTCCATCTTGCTCCACTAAATGAGGTTTCTCATTTTATTTACAATATGTGTAAGGTGCTGCTGTAATGTGATTTCTTGTGGAAGTGAGATGTATGTGTCCTTTGGTAAAGTGAAGAATATCACTCAACAACAATATTAGTACACAAAAAAAATTAAAGTAGCACATATTGATTTAATAGAATAATAGAATGGCTCAGGTTGGAAGGGACCTTAAAGACCATCTAGTTCCAACCCCCCTGCCACATGCAGGGATGCTGCCCACTGTATCAGGTTTCCCAGGGCCTCATCCAACCTGGTCTTGTGAACACTTCCAAGGATGGAGCATCCACAACCACTCTGGGCAGTCTGTTCCAGTGCCTCGCTACCCAAATTCCCACAGAGTGCATGCAGATCTGCATTGCACTTGTATAGCAGAGTGGGCCAAGTCTTCTCATGTGGGAGGACAGTAGAGAAGATCTTCAAAGGATTTTTCAAATAAATCACTCTTGTGTGACTTTCTGAGGATGATTAATGTTGAAGATGGATGGTTGTCAAAGAGAGAGACACAATTATTTTTTCATTTTTACAAGGTATACAATTACAATAGTGCTAGTTTTTAGTGGTGTTTATTTCATTATTTTTTTTTTTCTCCATGGTTGATAAAAGTTATTTGTCAAAAATGTATCTACTTAAGCTGTTTCCAGTCCTTTGCAAATACAGTAAGACATACTGAGTTTCCAAACAGGAGAAATACCAAGCATCCTAAAAATAAGCTTTAGGTTATTCTGAAAAATCCAGGGACCTGTATGTCTGCAGTTTTATGAAGATATGTATACTGTTTCTGGTATGCTGTACAGTATACAGTGTCTTGTTTAGAATTAAAAACACCTTATAGGTAAAGAATATCAGATGAATAAGTAACTCTTCTGTTTGGAAGATTAGTCTTACATTGAAAATATTTTCAACCCCCACTAGAAATAAGAAATGAGTCTAATTGAACAAAAAAAAAAAAAAAAAAAAAAAAAAAAAACAACTTTTAAAACACACTCAAAAGTTAGCAGCATAAAACATAACTCATTTTTGTTTTGCCTCCTGTTGATGTTGGCACACTGCACAGCCCTTTCACAGTGCAGCTTCATGTGGCCACAGCCCACAGACTTCCCTGATTCAGACTCTGCAATCAGATTTTGAGCAAAAGGTACAGTCCTCTGCCTGTGCTGGTTAGCACCCATAGTGGCTGGGTGCTCAGGTCCAAAACCCGCATTAGGATTAAACAATGCTGAATTTCTGCAAACACTGCTCCAGATCTTACAGGTGGTTGCTTTGCTGCAGGAAGGCTATTCACAGAGATGCAATTCAAGGTAACTACAGGTGGCAGAACTGCCTGTAAGTACCAGCCAGTGAGCCACAAATTGATGTACACATAGTATAGAGCAGAAGGGACCAACAGGTGCTGTGAATTCCTCATATGGCTTTGGAATAGCTGATACTACCTTGGATACTACCTGTTTGGGGCAATTGGGATTTGAATCTGCATCCAATTTGGCAAGGAAGCAGCTGCTGGTTTCAGTCATAGTGGATGGAACTGGAGGGGTTTCTAATGGAATCAGACAAAATTACCACTCATTTGTAGCTAAAGGATTATATATATACATATGTATACATGTACACACATACATTAAGTAATAAGGAGTTATAAATGTCATTTCCAAGATCCTGTGGATATAATGTCAAAAGAATTTAAATTATGTGAACCAAAATATGAGCCTATTTTTTTGTGTGTGTGGTTTTGTTGTGTTTTGTTTTCCCAGTATGAATGTGACTCACTGTTTCTGGCCTCTCTGCAGGCAGCTTTTTGATGGCTACAAGTTAAATTTTGTGTCTCTCTGGAGTAAGAAGGCAATTTCATTGCAGTTGTATCTTGTGCAGACAGGGTGGCTGTAAAATTCGTCACTCATTCATGTTAGTCACAGAAGTTATAACTGCATTACTGGAAGACTGAACAGAAGCAGATTGCTGATGCTTTGGGTAATGTTATCTCCTCTTCATATTTATTGCTAATATCAGACAAGGTTTTATCAGTGTCACATAGAGATTTTCTAATAACATGCAAAAGGATTTTCTTTCTGGGAGATTCTGAGTTTAGATTATTTGAATTTCTCTTTTAGATTTCCTTTTTGTTGGAACTTATTAAATGTTTCCCTGTAATTGTTAGCACATCTCATTCTAGGATATTGATTATTATCTCTACTCCTTTTACCACACTGAACTTTTCAATATTTTTGAACTTCTTTGTAGAGTTTAATATTTCTCCTCTTCCACCAGGTAGGTTACAGCTATGTTTGCATTTCTCTTTTTATCTTTATTCTTTTTTTTTTTTTTTTTTTTTTTTTTTTTATTCCGATAAGCAAAGCCAGGAATTTGGATGATCTCCCACTCCATTTGCAGGAAGAGCTGAATGAGGGACCAGCATGACTGGTTTGTGAAGCTGAAAAGGATCTCTTCCACACAGATTCTCACACATTCATGCATACCCACACTCATTAAATGGAGAAGTGGTCAAAATGGAGATGAGGGTGATGATAACCTTTGAAGGCAGTTCAGACGTTTCATGGCAGTCCCTGGACAAAGATAGCAAGGCAAAGCCATGCCATGTCAAGACACCTAACATTTCTTACAAGCAGTTCAATCTTAATATAGAAGTACTTATGTGCTTCTGTTTTGACCTGCTGGTGTATGTATAATCGATGTAGGGGTTGGAAAAGTCACCTGACATCAGCATAAGGAAAACGTTAAGCTGTCTCAGCTTCCAGCACATGATTTTTAAGACATTTTAATCCCCTCCTTTTCAAGTATGGATTTACTGGGTCGGTCAAGGGGGCATTAACACTTCCCCTACTCCACTGCCATTAACACCAGCCAGTCCAGCAAGGTGCTGTGACTTCTTTTATGCACACACTTGCGCATATATATACATATATGTTATATACTTATATACATATATGTATATATATGTTCCCTTTCAGACAAGTTTTTATCATTTCTTTAACAGTATTTGAAGTTAATTTATAAAATTAAATATCATCTAAATACAGTCAACCAAAACCCCACTAAAAGACCTCTCTGTTTCCAGCCTG